CGGATGCACGTTTGCAGGAGAACGTGCTCAGCCAGTTCAACATTCCACAGCAGATCAAGGAGTCGCGACAAAAACCAGAACTGAAGACCATTCTCGACAACAGCTTCGGCAGCGTACAGCCGGGCGAGATGCTGCTGGTGCTGGGAAGACCTGGATCTGGGTGCACCACCTTACTGAAGATGCTCGCCAACAAGCGCAAGGGGTACGCACAAGTCGAAGGCGATGTGCACTTTGGCTCGATGGACGCCAAGGAAGCACAGAAATACCGCGGCAACATCGTCATCAACACCGAGGAGGAGCTTTTCTTCCCTACGCTCACAGTAGGCAAGACCATGGACTTCGCTACAAGACTGAACATCCCACGTACTCTTCCGAGGGATTCCGCAACTCCCGAGGAGTATCGCCAGAAGTTCAAGACATTCTTGATGGAGTCTATGGGAATAGCTCACACCGAGGACACCAAGGTCGGCGATGCCTTTGTTCGCGGTGTATCCGGCGGAGAGCGCAAACGAGTCTCTATTATCGAGACTTTGGCCAATCGCGCCAGCGTAGCCTGCTGGGTAAGTTCACCAACTATCCATGAAGCTAAGGACGACAAGCTTCTTCGGATCCGCAATGATGGACGCTGACGTGAAACAGGATAATTCCACACGTGGTCTCGACGCAAGTACTGCTCTAGAGTACACTCGTGCTCTCAGATGTCTAACAGACGCGATGGGCATTGCTACGATCGTCACATTATACCAGGCAGGCAACGGTATCTACGACCTTTTCGACAAAGTCCTCGTGCTCGACGAGGGCAAGCAAGTCTTCTACGGCACTCGCGAACAAGCTCGGCCATTCATGGAAGAGCAGGGCTTCGTATGCAGCGAGGGTGCGAACGTTGCCGACTTCCTCACTGGTGTGACGGTGCCATCTGAGAGACAGATCAGATCCGGATTCGAAGGCTTCCCACGCAACAACATTGAGCTAGAGCAGGCCTACCAACGGTCTTCCATCAAGGCTGCCATGGAACAAGAACTGTCATATCCCACAAGTGACGCCGCAAAGTCGAACACCCAGTCCTTTGTCGAAGCTATGGCGATAGACAAGTCGAAGCATCTTCCAGCGTCATCTCCCATGACAGTGTCGTTCTATAACCAGGTGAAAGCCTGTGTAACCCGGCAGTACCAGATTCTTTGGGGAGACAAAGCAACTTTCATCATCAAGCAAGGTTCCACGCTCTTCCAGGCACTTGTAAGTTACCCAATTGCTCTTCGTGCCTCTCAGGAGTGTCGCATAACAGCTTTGATGTAATGACTAATTTCGCTTCTAGATCGCCGGTTCGCTCTTCTATAACGGCCCTGCGACCTCATCTGGTCTGTTCGTCAAAGGAGGAGCTCTCTTCTTGGCTCTCCTCTTCAATGCATTGCTGGCCATGTCGGAGGTTACGGACAGCTTCTTCGGCCGCCCTATCCTCGCCAAACACAAGAACTTCGCTTTCTACAACCCCGCAGCTTTCTGTATCGCCCAGATCGCAGCCGATGTGCCGATTCTACTGTTCCAAGTCACCATGTTCATGGTAGTGCTGTATTGGATGGTGGCTTTGAAGGCTACAGCTGCGGCTTTCTTCACTGCATGGTAGGCGATGGAAGCTTTTCTTATACATGAGTCGTACTAACACTTTTTGATAGGTTCGTCGTATACGTCGTCACCTTCGTCATGACTGCCTTCTTCCGCATGGTCGGCGCCGCCTTCCCTAACTTCGACGCCGCTTCCAAAGTTTCGGGTTTCTCCATCACAGCTCTCATCCTCTACATCGGCTACCAGATCCCGAAGCCCGAGATGCATCCATGGTTCGTTTGGATTTACTGGATAGACCCTCTGAGCTATGGCTTCGAATCTCTGATGGCGAACGAGTTCTCCGGTCAAGACATCCCTTGTGTTAACAACAACCTCATTCCGAACTTCCTTCCTCAATATCAGAACGGCGTCAACCAAGCTTGCGCGGGTGTTGGCGGAGCTAAGCCTGGAGCTACCTCTGTCAGTGGTGACGATTACCTGGAGAGTCTTTCTTACGCCAAGGGCCACATCTGGCGCAACGTCGGTATTCTGTTCGCTTGGTGGTTCCTCTTCGTGGGACTGACAATCTTCTTCACACTCCGATGGGATGACTCGGCCAGCTCTGGAGGCGCTCTCCTAATCCCCCGCGAGAACAAGAAGAAGGTCCCACGCTCTATCACACCCGGCGACGAAGAAGCTCAGGCAAATGAGAAGAGCCCCAGAACCGACGGCGCCGACGAGAAGGCTACTGAGACCCAGGACTTGAGTGCCAATCTCATGCGCAACACCTCTGTCTTCACCTGGCGCAATCTATCATACGTTGTCAAGACTCCATCTGGTGACCGCACGCTTTTGGATAATGTTCACGGCTACGTCAAACCGGGAATGTTGGGAGCCTTGATGGGCTCATCTGGTGCTGGCAAGACAACCCTCTTGGATGTATTGGCTCAGCGAAAGACTGATGGCACTATCCATGGAGAGATCCTCGTCGACGGCCGACCACTTCCGGTCTCATTCCAACGTTCTGCGGGCTACTGCGAGCAACTTGATGTTCACGAGCCATTTGCGACTGTCAGAGAGGCACTCGAGTTCTCCGCCCTCCTTCGTCAAAGCCGCGATACCCCACGCGAGGAGAAGCTGGCCTATGTCGACACTATCATCGATCTGCTCGAGCTACACGACCTGGAACACACATTGATTGGTCGCGTTGGAGCTGGCTTATCGGTTGAGCAGCGCAAGCGCGTCACTATTGGTGTCGAGCTTGTTTCTAAGCCATCGATTTTGATCTTCCTCGATGAGCCTACCTGTAAGTACCTGCTACCAATTTTCAAGTTCCTCACTAACACTGTCTAGCCGGTTTGGATGGCCAAGCCGCTTTCAACACCGTTCGATTCCTTCGCAAGCTTGCCGACGTTGGTCAAGCCGTCTTGGTTACCATTCACCAACCGTCCGCTCTGCTCTTCGCCCAATTTGACACTCTTCTGCTTCTCGCAAAGGGCGGAAAGACTGTCTACTTTGGTGACATCGGCGACAACGCGGCTACTATCAAGGAATACTTTGAGCGATACGATGCTCCATGCCCTCCGGGTGCCAACCCAGCAGAACACATGATCGACGTGGTTACAGGTACACACGGCAAAGATTGGCACCAAGTCTGGCTGGACTCGCCCGAAGCGGCCCGTATGCACCAGGACCTCGATCACATCATCACCGACGCGGCTGGCAAAGAGCCCGGTACCACGGATGACGGCCATGAGTTCGCGACGAGTCTCTGGACACAAACCAAGATTGTCACCCACAGGGCCAACGTCAGCATGTACCGCAATGTCGACTACGTTAACAACAAGTTCGCCCTTCACATCGGTACCGCGCTGTTGATTGGTTTCAGTTTCTGGAAGATTGGCAACACCGTAGCCGACCAGCAGCTCATCCTCTTCTCTCTGTTCAACTACATCTTCGTCGCACCAGGTGTGATTGCGCAACTACAACCCCTCTTCATCGACCGTCGCGACATCTACGAAACACGTGAGAAGAAGTCGAAGATGTACTCTTGGATCGCCTTCGTCACCGGCCTCGTCGTCTCCGAGATACCGTACCTCATCATCTGCGCCGTTCTCTACTACGTGTGCTTCTACTACACTGCTGGTCTTCCTTCGGACTCCAACAAGGCAGGCGCCGTGTTCTTCGTCATGCTCATTTATCAGTTCATTTACACTGGTATCGGGCAGTTCGTGGCCGCGTACGCTCCGAACGCTGTGTTCGCCTCGCTGGTCAACCCTCTCATCATCGGAGTCCTTGTCTCTTTCTGTGGTGTCCTGGTGCCGTATGCCCAGATCCAAGAATTTTGGCGCTACTGGATTTACTGGATGAACCCCTTCAACTACCTCATGGGATCGTTGCTCGTCTTCACAGACTTTGACTGGGAGATCAAGTGCTCCGAGTCCGAATTCGCAATGTTCGATCCCCCATCTGGCCAGACATGTTCCGAATACTTGACAGCGTGGATGGCTGGACCAGGCAGTCGCACGAACCTCGTCAACCCTGATGCTACTTCCGACTGCAGAGTGTGCCAGTACACCAGAGGCAGCGACTACCTGTACACGGTCAACTTGAACGACTACTACTACGGATGGAGGGACGCAGCTATTTGCGTCATCTTTGCCATCTCGAGTTACGCTCTAGTCTATGTTCTCATGAAGCTGAGGACCAAGGCGAGTAAGAAGGCGGAGTGATTGGGTGGCTGTGTGTTCATGCTGCTCATCACCCAGGGACCAATTTGCCTCTCTCTCGCAACTACGTTGGAGTCTCTGGTCAACTTTTGGAGTTTTGGGCTTTGTAATTTTTCTTCTGTTCATATCGAAAAGTCCATTCTTTAGACTACTTTAGACAACCTTGTCCAGATACAGCATCTGATCCTAGAGCAGGGCCAAGTTTGCTACTTGTAATATATTGTAATTCTCACCAACGCGTCGCCAATGACTCCATTCTGCATGCAATATCAAGGTGATTCAACGCATTCGGCGACCTTGAACGGTTTTGGTACAGCAACTGTAAGTTCATGGTAGATCAATAGTGAAAGGATGCAACAACTACCAATACCTGAGTGTCTCTCTTAGTGCTCAGTGCCTATTAAGCCTTTCGGAGGTGAAGGCAGGCCTCTAAGCCATACTGATAGAAGATTCCAGAGTGGAATGGCAATCTTATTGAGTTTCTACACGTGCGCCGTGGCAGCGCTAGTGAGTGAGTGAGATTCCACCGCGCGCCCCACAACTCCACCCACCGACAACCAACGCGACTTTCTACAACCTCACTTAACGCGTCTTTATAACGCGCCACGATACTCAATCACCATCGCGCATTCGCTCAAAATACAGCGCGACCCTGCAATCCCCCCGAAAGCACGTACGCCCCGCGGCAAGGCCGCCGCCGCGGTTGAAGAAGCGCCTGTCGCACTGCCAATGAAGCGCGGTCGCACCGCCAAAGCTGACGTCGTCGCCGAGCCCCCCAAGAAGCGCGGTCGCCCTGCGAAAGCACAAGCTGAAGAGCCCGTCGAAGCCGCGCCGGAGCCTAAGAAACGCGGTCGCCAGGCCAAGGTTGCGCCGGAACCCGCTGTCGAAGAGGCGGCAGTAGTAGCAGTCAAGAAGGGTAGAGGAAGGCCTAAAAAGGACGCCGTTGTTGTGCAGGAAGACGCGCCGGTCAAGAGCCGTGGACGCCCCAAGAAAGACGCTGCTGCAGTCGACCTTCACCGCGTTGCTGGCTCTCCCCGTATCGGCAAGAGGTCGTCTCCTCGCAACAACAAGGTCAAGACTGTCAAGCCGGAGCCCCTCGCTCGCCGCCTCGATCCTCGCATGCGATCGAAATTGCGCACCCGGCTCCCAGCCAAGACCGAACCAGTACCTCAGCCAGCTCCAAAGCCCACTTCTAGACGCGGACGTCCGCCCAAGGTCGCTGCCGCTGCCGCTGTCATTGCTCCAAAGCAAGTCACAAAGCCGTCAAAGCCCCTCGCCCCTCGGAAGATGCGCGGTCATACCGTGCGCCAGATTCCCGATCGATACGTCGCACAGATCGACCAATACCTCCACGACCTCATGGAAGCCGACGAGTCTCCTGTCGCAGAGGAGCAAGAGGACGGCGTAGTCGTTGAAGTTGAAGATGCCCAGGATGCGCTTGTGTCTTCAGAGCAGGATCGCGATCAATACCAAGAGGACAGTGACGGCGGTATCGATATGAACGGTCAACAAGACGTTGAAGACGAGGAGGACATGCAGGCTGTAGCTGCGCTTCAGCAGCAGGAGAGAGAGGAGTACGACGAGTTCCCCGAAGAGCTCCCCGAGAACGACGACCCTCAGTACCCAGAGGAGGGCGAGAACGACGAGAATATCGAGCCGGTACATGAGGAGGAGATTGAGATGAGCATGCACGACGTCGAGATGGAGGCGGACGCGGATGGTAACACCCTCCTCACCACCATCGACACCGACATTGTTGTCCGTGACGATAGCCCTCCCCTAGATGTCGAAGAGGAGGATGGTCTTCTCAACGCGACTCCCCCCAGGTCTTCAGCGGCTGCTGCTATCTTCAGCTAGACGACTTGTGTCTGGCTGGAGGGTACATATCTGCTTTCATTTTGGTTTTGCATTGCTGAGCGAGCGGAGTAGCTTCTTCATTCTGATATCACGTAGCTTTCCTGTACGGAGCTTTTCATTACTTGCAGGGCATATGGTCGATGGGGCGAGCGACGGGTTTGTGGTCAGCCTGTTAGCCTGGCCATAGGGTTCGCGTCTGCGCCGCGAGACGTCTATAGCGGCCTTGTGCTACACATGAATACACACTACCAACAAACTCTTCTTGCATGTTACAGTAGTTGCTAATGATCTGAACAGGTCGCGCATCACACAATTGCAGACAGATACACCACGACTCACTGCATGAGGATATCAGGAAGCACAGCAAACACTTCTGGCACACATCTTGACAACTTGGAAACTTTACAATTACACCCGGGCTATAGTACTATCCTACCACCCATACCAGCTTTTAACTTTTCCTACCACTCAACAACTCAATTTCGTCTCCGCCGTGCTCGGCCTGCTCGGCCTACTCGTCTCAAATACACCCCTCCTTCTCCTCACCTCCTCGCCCATCATGCGCCAGTCCGTCCAGCAATGAAATCCCAATCGATCGACATCGTAACTAATGCGCGAAGATAGAATTCCCCTCGCCATGCTCATGGCCATGGCTATGTCCGTGGCTGTGACCACCGCCGGAGGCACTGTGGTTGTGGACAGTGGTGCCGCTGGAAACTACCCTGGAGATCTTGGAGCCGCCACGGGCTGCGCCGCCACTGCTGGCGTGGTAGACGCTGCTGGCTGACTCCTCGAATCGCTCCATCTCGCGGCACTTCTCCTCGTACTTGGCCATGTACTCGTCGCGCTCGCGGTCGGCGGCGTGACGCGCGGAGATGGCGCGTTCCTTCTGTTCGCGGGCCTCGTTGAGCAGGGTGCGGAGTGAGGTTATCTCGAACTCGAACTCCGCGGAGGAGTCGTCGTAGGTGGAGATGGTCTCGGTGATCTCCTCGTACTTGTGTTTCCAGGCGTTGAGGTCGGAGTGCGCGCGATCGCGAGCGTACTTCAGGTTGGTGATCTCGGTTTGGAAGATGACGAGCTTTTCCTGGAGACTGCTGATCTCGCCGGTGAGGTGACCGTGCTTGCCGCGCGAGTCTTCGCCCTCGCGGTAAAGCACCTTGTTGCGCTCGGTCAGAGTGTGGATCTCAGACTTGATCTCGGTGATCGTCAGCTCTGCGCGGCGGAGGGAGTCTTCCAAGATGTTGATGCGGCGGTGGCCATCTTCCACCTTGCGGTGCTCGTCGTGAAGGTCTTGCTTGACCTGGTCGCGCTCAATGACAACGAGACGGTGGTCCTCGCGAGAGCGGTCGATGGCATCTCGGAGCTCTGTGCGCTCGAGCTCAACGTCCCTCAACTTCTCCTTGACGGAAACAACCTCGCGCTTGATGTGCTCGTACTTGAGAGAGAACTCGTTGGCACGGGCGTCGGCTTCCTCCCAGCCTTGAGCCTTGGCCTTTACTTCACGGCGGAGGTTGTCGATGGTCAGAGCATGGTCATCACGCTCTGTCTCAATGATGCGGACAGTCTCCTTGAGCTTGTGAAGCTCACGCTGCACACGATCGTGTCGCTCAGTGAGCTCAGTGTACTCGCGAGTAGTCTCGTCAACGCGAGATTTCGCGCGCTTCAACTCTTCGTGCAGACGATCCTTCTCGTGGAGGTGTTCGTCCCGCTCAAGCTCAAACATCTTGATACGGTCGGTAAGAGTGAGGACCTCCTTACGAGTAGACTCGAACTTGGAAGTAGTCTCGTTGTACTTGCTCTTCAGTTCTGTGTGCTCACGAACAAGTGTCCTGAGCTCATTGTGGTGCTTGTCTGAGTCGAATCGAGCGGAATCGCGTTCGCCTTCACAGATCTTCAGCCTGGAGTACGCAGCCTCTAGCTCCGCCCTGGTCCTCTCGTGATCACCATGAGTGAGCGTGATGGAGCTTTGAAGTTCGTGTAGCTCATGTCGGGTGTTCTCCAGGTCGCGGTCGCGATCCGAGAGCTTCTTCTTGTGGTCGGTCACTTGGGTAAGGGCAGCGTTAAGCTCAAGAATGAGCTTCTCCACCTGCCTCTTCCTCTCACCGTGTTCATGACCATAATGCGAGTGTTCAGCTTCTTTACGCTGGATCTCTTCCGTCACCTCCTCGACGGTAATGAGAAGCTCATCCCTCTCACGGGAGAGACTGTCTCGCTCAGCCATGATACGAGACCATGACTCTTTGAGCGAAGAAGCCTCTCGGGAGGCGGTAGACATGAGGTCCATCAAGGCGAAGAATTTGCCCTCAGCTTGTGATGTGAGCTCCGTAGACATCTTGCTCCGATGGGACTGGAGGAAGCTGCTGGCTCGACGAGAGGATGAACTGGTCTGACGAGTCGTCCGGCGTGTCAGTGATGAGCTATGGCCGGCACCATTTGCTTGACTGGCGAATGAGAAGGATCGGTTGCCTGTGGGGGAGGAAGGCTCAGAAAAGACATCGCGAAGTCCACTGGCCTTGAGCTTCATGATAGTGAGCTTCTCGGGCGAGATATCGGCGGTGGTGTTGAATGTGTCTGTCATTGTGGTGGTGTGAGGTATTGAGAGAGATGTGAAGATGTTTGAGGTGTATATGCTATGAAGGTGAGCGGAAAGTGGTACTTATGCTGTCAGTGCCGTCAACCAGCATCCTGCCCCGCGTACCATGGTAGCGTATCACAAGCGGCACATCAATACTGCCATCGGTATAGTCAGCTCCTCGCATTAACGAGCTGGTCGTGGCTTGCAGCTTAGAGGTATATTCCCACGTATGACGCAACGTTCTCAGAGCATCTGGCGAACTGGAGGAGCTATTCCAGCTGCCGTTCGATACGCTGCACTGTTACTGGAAAGGCACATGCAGCGACTTGGAACCATGCATGAGATAAGTGGGACCTCTTCATCAAGTGTCGGCGACTCAAGAGGTGGAGGTAACCATCGTAACATTCAGCTTGAATGAGCACCGCCTAGAAGATCAGACCCGGCATTCCCATATGCAATGACGATCCCTTGTAGCGCAAGTCGATGAGAGGGATTTTGGCCTTGCCGCTCTCGCTTGTCGGGGCATTGAACTGCATGGCGGATCGACTTACGACTGGATGATGTGATGCCAGGCGCGGGTAGATCACCAGGGCTGGATATCTCGATGCTGCAGATCGCAGATCATATATGGGGCGGGCCGCGCTATAGCATCCTCGCCGAGTCGACAGCGCCATCGCTAGACCTCGCTTGCTTCTTTCGGCCGCTACATGACGCCAAAGCTTTCGATAGTCCTAAACGGGATTTCGTCTTGCAACGCAAGGGAACAGCCGTGAGCCAATGGCACTGCCTGGCATGCTGGACCGGACCGCGATCAGGCAATCGGAAACGTCGGCCATGACCGAGCGATGGGATGACGACGGCCATTGGAGGGGAACCTACACCGGTGCACGCCTGGCCATTACCAGTGTAGTGTATCTGTGAGCGATGATCGAAGAGCCGGTGGTTGTAAGACGTAGCTCCAGATCGTGCGGCGGCTTCAAGGTATGGTTGACGCTAACACATGACCCCGCCTTGTCGATGAAGAAGCAACGAAGGAGCGGAGGAGTTCGCATCGCCAAACCTCCGTCGAGTCTGGAATAGAGAAATAATGAACCTATCGATTCCAGAGCCGTTGATGGGAGATGTCCAAGTGCCAGCAGGAGCTTCATCCGTGCTTCCAATGCATTTTCCTAATGCGGGTCTCGGTTCTGCCATCGTACCCGCACTTGCAGCGACGTCACAGCTAGACGAGAACTCGGGAAAGAGCCCTGGAGCGATCAACACGATCGAGGTGTCCGGTAGTCTGTACTGATCCTGCATGTCCTTTCTCGTACGTCTTGCGTTTTGGCTAGCGTGACACGGCCCTTCAGCCTCATGTGATCCGCATGCATTCCCTTCAACGGCAACACCGATGGTCTTTCATAGACATCCACGATTCGGACACACGCACGACGAGTTTACATGCCAACAGTCTTTGTTTCTGTCCGGCCGCAGTTCATTACCAACGTGTGTCACAACAATTTAGCGTCAAACACAACTTCTGTCTTTTAGAACAGATGTTTCTTGGATAAAAGGATTCTGTACAGCATCCGATCACCATGTCATGAATCGAAGAAGAATTGCATCCACGAGTCTGCGCACAGTGAACTTAACATAAAGATGTGGCGTATATTACCCTGCGCTGCCGCTACCCAAATTTGAAACGATGTCTTCTTTGAAGATCAAGTGCGTAAGAGCCGGGGAGGGTAAGCCCAGACGGAATGAAGACTGACGTCTTTGTTCGAGCATCTAAAACCAGATCTCACTAGACACCTTTTGGGCTTGTTCTTGGTAAGGAGCCATACTTGAAAGAAGTCTACGAACGGCGCTCGTATCGCAGATATGATAAATGTGTCCAAAGGTAAGTCGAATGTGGTGCGTCAAGAGCGACACTTCGTTCTTTACGTTTCCGAGACCATCCATCCCTCTTTGCACTCACCTACCTTTCCGATACACACGCCGTCATGAAACTATCCCTCACCTCCACCTTCGCGCTCTCACTCCTCGCCACATCCATCGATGCTTACGAATTCAAAACCGGATCAGGAGTTTGTGCCAAGCGTTATGAAAAATGCACAGAACCATGGGTTTACCTTTGCGAATGTAACTCGGGCTGGATTGTAAGTCTTCCATATCTTATACGAGGTTGCGCACGCGCTTATTGTTGTCAATACAGGTGCAGTGTAGTGGTGGCGGGACCCGCTTCGATCCAACCCCTGTGAAATGGATGCCTCTTCTTGACTGTCCAAAGCCGGACAAGAAGGGAGGGCTGCAATGTGTTTCTGGGATGTGCACTAAATGGCGGCCTGACCTGCTATCGATTTAGAGCTATTCTGATGTTGTTGGTGGACAAATGCCGATGGGATGTGGGTGTATTTGCGAACTCAAACAGTAATTGTTTCGCTCTTACAACGTTGCAGCTTGATGAAACTCGACTTATTTTGTGTGTTCGCAGTCGTCCGATCGACGTTGTTTCGTTGCCTTGCGTCTAGTAAATAACGGAACATCTGATGCCGCTGTGAAGGCTCGATTTATTGAAGGTATACGGTACCAGATAGATCGGACTATGGAATAGATTACGCCGTTCATATAAATTAACGATGGTATTACGGCAGGACGCTGACACATGTAAGTTGGCATGGTGCCCAGGTGTTGTTGGGCCAAGTCTGATCCCCACGATCATTTAGGCTGGGCTGTCCACAGGTCAGCCCTCCTGGAGTACGCGAAGATGAACGGTGGGCGTGCTACCACGAAGACTTTAAATCCAGACAACCTTGGAAGGCTCAGCCTGATCTGAATCGTGTTCGACACGCGTGACGAAGAAGCAGTATGGACATTGATCATCGCGTCGGTGGCGTTCGGCTTGAGTTCGGTCTTGAGACCCGTGGACGGCCCCGCAACTAGCGAGGCTTGGGCTGTTTCAGTTCTGCCCTTTACCGAGAGCCGCACACCTCTCAAAGACATCACGCTCACCCAGTCGTTGGAACCCAAGCTGTCCGACAATCGATAAAGAAACGCGTGTGATTCGCTTCGAGACACGATACAAGACAGTGAGGCAGGTATTAATCGCATTACGCGTTCAACGCTGAGAGCGTCCATTCCACTATACCAAAGGAATCGACGCGACTCGTTACTATCTGTCTGTTCAGCTGCACTTCTGCGATCGCGCACGCCGAAGATATCAGAATCCGACCATGTCGCTGACGTCAAGGGACCAATATTTGTCACCCTGTACCGAGAATGAGTACCTCTGTTGCGAAGACACATCCGATTGGGACAAAGAGAAAGACAAATTACGAGGCCGAGTCCTTCGTGTTACTCTAGGCCAACAGGTGAATATCTCTAGGTAAGTTGGGACGATTGATATATAGGTTCCGAAGACTGTCGCTCACATCTTGACCAGTGACATCATGAGGTCATTAAAGCTTCATACGGGATGGTTACAAAGTCTTGAAATCGCCAATTACGCAGCCAATATCTCAGACGATGATGTCCTTGACTTTGTCTCACGGAACAATAGGTTACGCGAAATCATGCTATTGAACATCAATCTAACGGACAAATCAATCATTCATATTCTTGGACATTGTCCAGATATCGTATCCATTTCAACTGGCGGTGACAGTTCTGGCGGAGATGGGCGGATCAAAGGCCATTTTGCATCCTACATGAACAAGCAGGAAAATATGCACAAATGGGAGAAATTGACAAAAATCACTTTTTGGGATCAGCCAATCGACAGGGCACAAATTAGAGGCTTACTCAAAAAGCGACCGAACCTACATATCGATCAGTTGCAGACACCCAGCCCCGAAGTAGTAAAATCGCTCACGGATGCCGGCATCTCACCTTCCAACGTGGAACTATCAGATTTACATGCCGAGGACTTTGCTAAAGCATCACAAATCGTGCCCGTTGTATCTTTCTGGAGAAACGGCAAGGTTACAGGCCCAGACATGGCGGATTTGGTGCGATTAGAACAGACTCGGTTGGACGCTATCCGGCGGTGTAAGGCTGGGCTTCAAGCTTGGGCTGAGTATGAGGCAGAGGCTGAAGAATTTCCTGAGGAATCAGACGGTCGTGGGAAGCGGACTCTGGACCCGGCCTCTCCCTCATCACCACAGCCAGCTCGAAAGGTCGCAAGACGCGAAGTTTCCGATCTCCGTCACGCAGAAGATGCAAAGCAGGCCGACATGACGAGTAGCACAAACGTCAATGAAGCGTCATCAAGTATGGAAAACACCTCTGGGAACGTCAACGCAGGCAGCAGCTCTGACGGAAGCGCCTTGACTAAGAGCGTCATCAAAGAAGAAACTTTGGATGAGGATAACTTCGGAGTGAACTATGAGGCAGCCGAAACCCATGGAGGAGATGCCTTGGATGAAGAGGAGGATGCTATGACGAGGACTGTAATCAAGAGAGACGATAGTGTATGACCAAAGCCGATTTCAATGAAGAGATATGTTCAGTGTTTCAGGTGGCTTTCACTTCAATATTGAGAGCGTGCAAGCGTGAGGACAACTGAAACCACATTGGGTGATGGCGCCCTGGAAGCGCTAGTATGACATCATCGTTTTGTAGCCTAGACTTATCCGGCAGGCTCTATCGTAAGCTCTATACGAGCTCGAGAGCGAGTAGACTCCTCTTATTCTACATTAAACGTTAATAACATTGTCTCTTTCGTGTTCCGAGAGCACGATCTGTGCAGACGCTTTTCGGTTTCAGTTGCGGCCAGGCATCCTCGGGGCCCATACTAATTACCGGTAACCCCCGCCCAACGGGTCCGGCTGTTTCGGGAAGGTTCGCTCCTGCAGTCCGAGGAACCTCAACATGTCGACAGTCACCAGTCGCTCAACACCAACCACTAATGAAATAACGACGCGGTTTGCATCTTCGTGGGTTGACTTTCTAATTCGCATGCGATAAGTAATACACTTGGCCCCATTCACTGAACTGGCCTCTTCCGCACCACACGTTCAAAGCTACGCACTTGCCAACATCGAGCGATGTCGTTAGCAGCAGCAGCAGCTCGCTTGGAGACAGTGCCTGAGGAACAGCGCATAACATGTCGTAGCTCGAAAGACTGGGATTGGGGAAGAGAAAAGAAGAAACTGCTGCGGGGTTAAGTGCAAGACATCCGTATAGTATGCAACTTCCACCTATCGTGGTATGTTCAGACGACAAACTCTATAGCCTGAAGTCACGACTCACAACCCCATCAGTGCGTTCAAGAGTTCGCTAAAGCTTCATACCGGCGAATTACAGCGCCTTCAGTTGTATGACGTGCGAGGCACTCTTTCGGATAGAGACGTACGCGCGATTGTCGCACGGAATCCCTGGCTACTCGACATCGACTTATATGCACCGAAACTGACCGATAAGTCAGTTATCGCCATCCTCAAACATTGTCCACGCGTCACAGCTATTCGAATCAACGGCTTGCCTAGAACCACCGGACGGGTCAAAGGCCATTTCGTTTCGTTCATGAACATGCGGGAAAATCAGCACAAATGGGGAGTGTTGAGGACGTTACGGCTGAACTACCAACCGGTTATAGAGGCACAGGTGAGAAGCGTCTCCAAGAGAAGACCAGACATAGTCATTTCGCAGAGCATTAGGGTTCCTTCCGCTGTGAAAGAGTCGCTGTCGAATGCTGGTATCGATATACCCGTCCCGGCAATGACTGAGTGGCGCAGAGGGCATGTTGAGGGTGTAGATTGGGTGGCAGTAGTGCGCAGAGAGCAAACGAGGCTGGACGATTTGGAACAGCTTGCGTCACAAGTCCAAGAGGAACGGGAGCGGCAGAGGGCATACGAGCAAGAACAGCAGAGGGAAATCTCAAAGCTACTTGCTAAGATACGAGCCCAGGCGCAACAAGAGCTAGCCATCGCTAGATCGCACGTCGATTCTGTGGAAAGTGATGCAGAAGATTCTGGATCAGAAGAGGACTGTTCAGAGGAAGCAGAATCTGGCGATGATAATCAGGACGATCTTGATGCTAGACATCTAGGAGGATATGGAAACACTTCAGAGGAAGAGGGAGAATCAGAAGCCGATGAACTTGAGGAAGAGGAAGACACCTTGGTAGAGGAAGATGAAGAAGCAGACGAGCTCGAAGAAGCTACTGAAGAAGAGCGCTCGGATGGAGAAGATTGTTCCCCAGAAGAGACCGACGGGGAAGAGGAAGAGGAAGAGGAGGAGGAGGAGGACGACGACGACGACGATGAAATATATCAAAACCAAGAAGACGCGCGTCCCTCGATTAAGGCCGAAAGAGTTGCACAGATTGCAGACCAAAGGATCCCCAGTGCACAATCCAGATATTGGGTCCCCAGGGGGCGGAACACAGGAGCGATGATAAAACAAGAAAGTCGCCTTAGTGTGGCGAGAGCTCTACCAAGAGAACCGGCATCGATATCTGCCGATGAGGATGATGACATGCGCATCGCAAATGGAACTCAACTTCAAGACGAACGGCAACTGAACGACCGCATGGAGACGGATTCTAAAGATGAGCTATTCAACCGGATCAAAAGCGAAAGTAGGATACGTGCACAAGATTCCGCACGCTTCGAGAACAACATGGAACGCACTAATGTTGTCAAATCGTATTATCCATGCAATCCCCGTTCACCCATCGCGTTTGCAGATTCCGTCACACTCAGATTTGTCAGTCCTGAGGATTGGGAGCGACGTTGGCAGAGGGCACAGCGTCGCACGAGCATACGCATGGTCATTTTCGAACCAAGCTTTGCTGTCACTGTGTAAGTCGTCTTCGTCTGTCATTGCATCTATCAGTAGCATACTGAACCCAAACAGCACGGACATCAATATGCTAGCTTGGTCACCAGCAGCATTCAGTTCATCCATTCTCGCGATCCGCGTGGGCAACGGTGCCCTGCTAGACGACCAGTCTATTACCAACCTCGCCGCGAATATGGCGCAGTTAACACAGGTGCAAATCGATTTGGCTCCAAATATTGGTGACCAATCCATCATGAGTCTTATTGAGTTCTGTCCGGCCATTGAATACATTGAAGTATGTGGGGATGTACTCACGAGACGATCTGGTGGTGTGACTTGGCGTAACCTCGACGCGATATTGATTGCACATGAAAATAAGGCCCAACGTCTTCGTAATTTGGTGCTCGTAGATCAGCTGGTGGAAGACAAGAGCGTGGAAGCCTGCGAAAAGTTGCGAGCAAGATTGAGAATTATACGTGGACATCAAACACGAGAGGAGATCGTGCCAGGAAGCAGGGCTTAGCGCACGGCTAGATCCGGGGAAAAAAGTCATTACATTAGGTACTATCGATTTTCATACTTATTAATCCAACGCAAATCTTTGTGAGTCGCGGTCGGCCAACGGCACCACGTTGTAGTTCAGTCGCTGTACATAATAATCGTCCTCAAGCTCGTGCGCTCGAGGTTTTCGTTGCACCTGGCCCAACAGGATTGGCCGGAGCCCTTTCTTGAAGTTGTAGAAGCAAACGCAGCCGGCCAGGAGAGCACTCGTCGAAAAGACCACCCCTACGCAGAGGTAGAAAACCATCTCATCCTTCAATAGAGTATCAGCAAGTAATGAGTGGCCGTAGAGAATGAGGAGTCTGCTGATCAGGTATGCGATATTTGCGGCATGGAGAAGCTGTGAGATGGGGCGTTAGCGCGTGCCAGTCCTCTCGAGGTTAAGCGACCTACCAAGACAAACGCCATTCCAATGCGACGCTCATGCCTGACAAAATATACTGCAATAGCCACATGTACAAGAGTAGCCGGGATGATTGAGATCGTCAATGAGAACTCGGGCTCCTGGAAATGGACGTCGATGAAATCGTAGAAGATTATGAACGCGAAAACGAAGTAGGGTGTAAACTTGAGAAGCACGAGGTAAATCTGTGCTTGTGTGAGTATGGTCAGGCAAAGAAGATGACGCAAGTCTTACCTGGTAGACAGCGTATTTTGTTTGTATCTTTTTGTCAGGGCTGACATGCTGGTATAAAGCCCAAGAGAACTCACGGTATAAGCCCCTCGCTAACCAGCACATAATGGCACTGCTGACACATGTAACCACGGTGCAGACCATTAAGCCAGGTGAGATCTTCTTCCAGAAAGGCCAATCAACGTCTGCAAAAGGTGTGCCGTACATGTCGTGATTAACAAGAATCCTGGATACTGCATGTCTAGTCTCGCCATATTGAAGAACCGTCGAGATTGAAAGGCAAATGTTGGCGGCGCATTGAACGAAAACCTGGATGTGGTTCTTGATCCGGTATGCGTCGAGTGTCAAGATGATCTGGAAGAGACATCCCAATGAATTGACACACAAGGTCAGAGGGATGACATAAGATATCGGAACCTGGTATGCAACCGAGTTTACCCAATTCAAGTATGTGACCAGAATGACTCTAGGGCTTGTTAGGCAGTCCATCTAGCGAGTGAGTTATGCGGGGAAATACGAACGTCTGTATCGTAATATTCGTAATCGCCTGAACTGTTGTAGTGCCAAAGAAAAACCATTCCAATCTCGTCTCCGGCCGCCACGATACCATCGTTATTATGTTGCCCCGATCGAGCTGCCCGCACGCCCAAAGAGGTAATGGAAACGAGTTTGATGTGAATCAGCCACACCAGGGCAGGGTACAAGCGGTGGGTATTGCGTGCGACGGGACAATCTTTTTAGCAGTCTCGAAGAATCATGATAACGCGTGGACAGAAGCAAAAACCTTCTAGTTCCATAGATAGTCTGGCATTTTCCGGGCTTGGGTCCGCTAGGAAAGCCTAAATACGGGAAAGGAGCTCCCGCACTACGCCGCTTTCAGCCGAACGTCGACCATTGCAGCTGACATTGACGCTACGCCATCCCAGACTTCCCACGGCGAGCATTCCCGGAACCTTGATGGACGACATGATTGAATGGTCTCGGATATTACTATCACGATACGAGATTGGTGCTGTGGGAGGTGTGGGGAGAGACTCAGGTTAGTCGCTTTTCCTGCTAGCGTGACAGCCTTCATGCAGGATGTCTCGCGTCTCATCAACCCGGCCTTGCGACACTCGAGGTTCAGGACAAAATCACAGCGATATCTCGCTTTCAATGTTGATGAGACCAGCTATCGCGATCTTTATCCGCCCAATACACCATGTCCTGTTACGATGATTGACAGTCCTGTTCTAGACATGCCCCGCGCACGACGCGCACACCGGGGGTCTTTTCGCCACCAGGGGCACAAAGCTTGCCGAGAGCTGTTCGAGAGGAGTCCATGTACCGTGAGATCTCGAAGGCCAGACGCATTCCAAGGTTTGCTTTTGAAACACTTATCGAACTCAGGGAGCGACTGAAGGATCAAGCGACCTCTACACCAAGGGAGTTTAAATCATCCAAAATCCCGTTCTCGTACCTCGTTCTATTATCCTTCACCCAGCTGCCCACAACGCGACATGAGCACTCAAAACCCCCACCTGCAGCTCCGCTGGCAAAGGTCTACACCACACCCTCCTGAAAACGAACACTTGATTCATCCCCCTCTTCATCTTTCGAGTCCGCGAGACTTACTTGTGGCCCAATTCTCGCTTCATCCCGTCTGTGGTGAACTACAAACCGCCCATGCCTTGTGCTGCGATGGCGAGCCAAACCCTTGTAGTACCCCAGACACTTTTCACGCTCCCGACGGTTACTACATTGCTTGCTCCCTAAACATTCCTGGATTTGGAGTGTACAAGTGGAAGACCGGAGTCTGCTATCCACACCCACTAGCTCGCGATGTTCCCAAGCAAACTCAAGCGCCGCAAGAACCAGCACAGCATCATGGCCATGCACCAGAAAACAATACACTAAAACGGAACTACGAAGACACAGAGTACCCCGATGCTACCGGACGAAAGATACCTAGGACCGCAGAGTATGCAGCGACTGTCGAACGAGAACACAGCGAAGAAGTGTATGGGGTCGGCTCCGAGGAGAGTGCTACGGGAGATGAGACAGTTGAAGGGAGTGAAGGAAGCGGAGAGGAGGAGGAGAAGAAGGAGGAGGAGGAGGAAGAGGAGGAGCACTACCAACGCGAAAGTAGCGTCGAAGTCGAGCAATGCGTCAACGAGCGCGACTCATCCGATGATGAGTCCCTCAATTGGGATCCCACCAAAGCCTTGAAAAAGGCTGAAGCTAGGCGTGGCCTCGTATATTTCGGAATCTTTCCCGCTTTCGGCAACCCAGAGGGTATCCTGTTCTACGGCAATTGGGACCAGTGGGAACAACGATGGCATGCAGACGCGTTACGCACCGGTATTTGGAAAGTACGATTTGGACCCGGGTTTCGCGTGCAAAGGTAAGCGATTTCATACTTTATTATGATCAAACAAATGATGTACTTGGCACTGACGATTATGGCCGTGGCTAGATCACATCTTGAGGCGTTGGCATCGGCACCACCTGCATTTCGACAGACCATTGTATCGATACATTGCAGCAACGCAGGGCCCCTGGATGACGATGACGTGATTACACTCTGTTCTATCAATCCTGATTTGAAGGACATTTCGCTCGGTAGCGCGCAACTTGTCACCGACAGAGGCCTAGTTCATATACTAGATCTATGCCGATCCATAGGTCGTATCAGCATAAGTGGTGACGACAGATGTCACGGTTCAATCAACCTAAAAGACCGGCAATTGCGTAACGCAATACGGAATCCCCGATATGGGAGAAGACTGAAGCATTTGTGGCTTATGGATCAGCGCTTCACTCGCAAGCGGGCCAAGATTATTTCCAAGACAAGGCTGACGATGGCTATAGTTGGGGGAGAGACAGTTGGAGACAGTCACGCTGCGCAGGTTGTGGCTAGTATGACTGGAGGTTTCACCAGATTTGTGTACTTCCACGGCGGCGAGGTACCATACATGGACATTGCACACCCGTCGACGGTGACATGATCCCAAGAAAGGCAACAGGTATCGTGATATGAGAATAGAGTGTTTCGAATATGGAATATACATGTGGTTGCATTCCAAAAGTCGCGCGAAGAACGAATATACCTCTATCCATACAAATATTATGCCATCTAATTAGCTGCGCCGTCGCGGCTTCGGTTGGGAAGTTCCAGCATGCTACGCCGTAATATCACCGCTCTTCGCTCGCTTCGCGTCCCTCTCTTCGCCAGCATTTGCCTCGGCGCGTCTTTTACCCTCGTCCTTCCTTGCAGTATCCTTCTCTTCCCGCGCAACACGCCGCGCCTCCTTGTCCTGCTTCTCCTTCTCCTTCCGAAGAGCCTTGCTCTCGAACTCGTGCCAGTCACCCTCCAGCTCCTTCAGCGCGTCGGCACGTTTCGGTGGCGGGGCTTCGCTCGTGAAGAAAGGATGCTCGAGCACGTCGGCGGCAGTGGGTCGCGCATTGGGGTCGAACAGGAACATTGCCTGGAGAAGTTCAAAGGCCATAGGGCTAACGCGGTCCTTGTACTTCTCCTCAAATGTCGACTGTTTTCGTTCGGTTGGCCGTAGCAGTTCAAACCACTGCATGTCGACAATCCCAGGCCAGTCCTGCACAGTGGGCGTACCAAGTATGTTGTAAATCTTGTCCAGCTGATTGATCTCGCCGCCATCGCCAGGGAAGATAGCGTGCCGCGTAAAGATCTCGACCAGTACACAGGCAGCCGACCAGATGTCGACTGCTGGCCCATATTGTGTTTCTCCCAGCAACAGCTCCGGTGATCGGTACCAGATGGTAATGACCCGGTTGGTGTAGTCGAGCTTACTGCTTTTCGCGTAGAAACGTGCAA